GTGGCGCCCCGTTCTGACGACTAGCTCCTGTTCAGCACCTCCTTTCTTCTCTTCCACCACTACAGCTCCCAGAGTCGCAGCTACCCTGTGTCTCGGCCGTCCGGCCAGGTCACGCTGTGATCCCCATTCTGAGCCTTTCAAAGTCAGACCCCTCTCTCCTATGCCTGCTAGTGAAACCCTTCCTCTGGGGCCCCTAGCCCCGCCTCGGGGCTTCCTAGCCCCCCTTGCCTCAGGCCCCCACCACTGGGCCCAGCCCTCGGGCTGTATAGAAGCCCCACTTGTCCCCTCCCAGGCGAGCTTCCTTCTAGCTAGCGCCCTGCACGCAGCCTAAGTCACTTCCCCTTTGCAGCTTAACTGGCTGATCTGGCCCTCGCCTTAAGCCCGCTCTCTCAGGGCTGGTGCCAGGCGGGGATCGCAGGGTCCTGGTCTGGAAAAGGTTGGGCCCCCAATCTGGGGGGTGGGAGAGGGTTTGTGCCACAGAGATTGGGGCACTGCAAATAGCAGGGAAGAAAGGAGAATTGAATGGGGGGGGTTAGATGGAGCAGACAGACTGACCGACAGACCACGCCCCCTGCAATCGGTGGGGGGTGCCTCCATGGTCATTCGCCCCCTGTGCACCCCCAGCTGTGTGTGACCCCCTTTCCCCCACGGGCAGGAAGGGGGGGAGTTTTGTTGCAGCCGCATGTTAAACTCTTGGCATCACAGGACTGGCAGGTGGACAGAGAGCAGCCATCGGGGCAGGGAAGAGAAGGGGATTTTCCCCCAGGCAGGAGTGAGTTGAGATGAAAATCTGATATGAAAGCTCTAACGTCTGCTCCTCTCTTCCCATCGCTCTAAGACCCCAGCATTAACTTCAGCGCTGAGTACGAGGAAAGCGAAGAGAATTTCTCTCCGTGGGTACGTATGAATCCATCCTTCATTAGTTGAGGATTTTGCCCTGTGTTTTTTATCGCCAATATGGAAATTCCCAGACAAAAACCTTTGCTGTTAGTATTATGGTGACCCCTATAAACCCCATCCAAGATAAGGGCAATCCTGTGTTTATTCCTTTCATTGCTGGGACTCGATCCTCCTCGTCCTTCTAGTAGAGCAGCTAAAAAACAGGAGGACGAGGCTCTCTGTGTCTACTGGAAAGTAGTGGCCGAGAGCGGGAGCTGGTCTCCGGACGGCTGCACCGCCGTGCACACGAACAGCACTCACACCACCTGCAGCTGTGACCATCTCTCCAGCTTTGCCGTCCTAATGGCTCCCACCACAGTGACGTTATCTCACCGTGAGACTCGATCACACGGCTGGACCCTGAGCTCCACACTCAGCCGTGGGCAAAGCTCTCCATGGAGCGACTGGAGGCTTTGCTGGGGAAAAGGCTGAGTCGGAGCCTAGGGGGCGGGGCTGGGGTCACTGGTGATTGTCCCTTTGCTGTGTTACAGGAGAGTTACCCACTGACCATCATCAAATACGTCGGACTGACCCTGTCACTGCTGTGCCTCTTGCTCGCCATCCTCACCTTCCTCCTGTGCCGCTCCATCCGCAACGTCAGCACCTCCCTCCACCTGCAGCTCTGCCTCTGCCTCTGTGTGTTCCACGGGTTTATCTTCAACACGATGCCCGAGAGCGACAATGAGGTCCGGCCCGATTCTCCCCTGCTCTGTTCCTCCACTCACAGCAGGGCCGGGCCATGTGGTTTTGAACCCCTTTGTGCTCCCTGGACTCTGGGCTGTGCAGGGCACAGGGGGGTTTCCGGGTGATGTTTCCAGCCTCTTAGGCCCCTTCACACTGGGCACAGGGTCTGAGTGTCCCCAACCCCTGGAGTTCAGCCAGTTCTATCCCTATGTCACAGGCTCCCTGTGCCTCGATTCCTCTCCTACGTGACTTGCCCATGATCACCCAGGGACTCTGTTGTAGGACTGGGAACAAAACCTGGATCCCCTGAAACTGTTCCCCTGCTCTAACCACTAATCTCTGCTCCCTTCCTGCATCAGCAATGTGCACCCGCAGGACCCTCCATAGACCGAGGAACCTGCCGTCTCTGGGTCATGGAGCATTATGACTGGAGAGCTCTGCTAACAAGAATCCCAGTGTGACCCCCCCCCCACCCCCCCCCCCCCCCCCCCCCCC